AATACACACTTTGTATAATCCAGATAAGACAAACATCATCTTAAAATTAAATGATGATAATTTTAGGATTGATCTGATGTAAATCCAGGTATCCAAGACATTTGAATGAATAGATTAAAAATTTGAAATAGACATTTGAAATAGATTAATTGTAACACATGCTTGTAACAAATCGTCTCCAGTACAGTAGTAAACTCCTAAATACAGTACAAATGAACTGCAATACACAAAATTACAATACAAAACATTACAGAAGAATACAGTGCATTCCTATTAATACCACTATAATTATTGATTATTTAATACACTTGGGGTGTTTTACTAAGCAACGGGATGATTACGATTGTTCAAAATCGTAGATTATTTGACCACGAACGATTATATACTTGTTGAACTGTTGACGTAAGGTAAATTTTCCTATCATAGTCTTGCCATACATTTCAGAAGCATTCAGATATTTCTATTCAGATTCTCCTTAATTTTTACTTTATGTACCTTTATGTATTACTTCAGATCTGTATATTTTGTGATCTAATAAACCAAATTAAACTGAGCATATTATACCATATGCCTTATTATACCGATGAGCTTTTTATACCGAATTCGAATATTTTTAACTAATGGAAATACTCACTCTATAACAAAAGTTCAATATCATAGAAATTAATATTTTTTTCACTGTTCAGAAGCTGGCCTTATTTTTAGTGTTCTCCATCATTAGTTGAACATTTACCCAAATCCACATTACGTTATCCATGTGTATCTTCGTCATTGATAATGGAGCCTACGTACATGGTACCATAATTGTCGAAAGTAATTTTAACATACTCTGTCTTTTTTTTAATAGCTAACAAAATTATTCACACAAATCAAGTACCTACCGATTTTCTGATTGGCTCTCTCTCACAATTGTACTTCAATTAACACTATTTTGGTTGTTTGGTGTAATAATGTCAAACATATGTCCCTGAGCAAATGCACAGTTGTTGTTGTAAATAAGCAGGAAAGACTGATGTTAATAGGTGGCTTTTTGTTTCCTATAACTTTGAATTGACTCCTTCAATTTTTTTAGTTTTACTTAAGCTTTTCAATTTTTAAGTTTTTACTCCTTTCAAGTTTTAATTAAGTTTTCTTGGGTTATTTCCGTTCTCTTAACACAGTATTATGACTTACGCCCTAATAAATTAGTATTTATAAAAATAAAGAGTACATAATTAATACCTAATTCATAATATATATGTTGGAAAAATAGTTTTTAAAACAAAAATATAATTAAACTGATATATTGACACATACATAATGTGAACATAACCGGCAAAACCAGTCAAACGGTTACATGAAATATAATCTATGCTTAGCTTTAAAGTAGAACCGTGTCGAACAACGAGAGTTGGACGAGTAAGGACTTCTAGCCGCAAAACGATGGGAAATTTCGCTCTACAGAGCTCGCTGCTCCCTACATCCCTGCATTTATCCAACAGTGTTGTCATATTGAGAGAATAACACTAAATTCAGGGGCGTAATCTCGCAGAATAAAATTTAAATTATATAACAACACCTATTTAAAGACAGCTTTGGAGCTCCGTTTTTATTCCTCTCTACCATTTAATATATAGATTTTAATTTTTACCTTTCACAGGTGTTATGTAGCTAATAATCTAAACATATAAATGTAAGCCCTCACTCACTCATTCATCACTAGTTCTCAAACATTCAGACTAGCTAGAAGCATGAAATTTGGTATACCAATTCTTTAGGCATTAAATAGGAAAACTAAGTAGTTTTTATACTGATCTGACTTTTGGGCCCCACCACAGTGGCGCTGGAGTTTCCCATATTAACCTTATGAGTATCCTACGTAATGTTGGGTAGCGAGCTGGCATAGTGGTTAGAGTGCGGGACTTCTGTCCCTGAGGTCCTGGGTTTGATCCCCGCCAAGTCACCAATGGATTTTATCTAAGTGATAATGCCGTAACCCCTAGGTGTAGCTTGAAGTAATGTGAAAAACAATCCCAGGCTCTTGCCTAGCGTCCTAGGATATAAAAAAAATACGAGTAATGTTTGTTTGTTTGTCTGTCTGTTTGTAATATATATATCAAAATCCAGCGAAATGATTTTAATTAAATTTTGGAATTAGAGGCTTATAGACCTAAAACGTGATTTGCGACAGCCTCTACCTCAGAAAAATTTGTAATCAACACACAACTCATATATGAAAATTTAAAAATTTTACATTGGCCTTATGGGTTGATAGTAACTATTTTAGTTGAACAAAATATAAAACAAATGTAAACAAAGGACTTGGAACATGTGTTCATAACAAGCCATCCATAGTAGACTAATAAATTACAAAATACAGTAAAAAGAGACACAACTCAGTTGACTCAAACAACTATTGAGCAAAGATTACAGTGAAGATTACACGATATGGGGGAAAATAATTTTGATCAAATAGGCTACTGATTATTTTACTTAGCTGTCTCCCACCAAAACTTAAACCCTAAGTACTGAGGCAATTTATTGTTAACAAACTTTAACTTAGCATTGAAATAAATATTTTAAAATGTTATATTTATTTGATGTAAATTATAATTAAAAAGTATTTTCAATCAGCAGTCTTTAATTTACAAACTGTCAAAACGACGTCCAACCATATTACTATTAACAAGTAATTTTAGCATTTTTTAAGTAATGCAATTAAATATTGTATATTGCTATAAAATATAGAGCAACAGTTGATGAGTGTTCTGTGTTAGTGACGTTTGGGTACAATGGCGTCAACTCAATGTTTTACTCTTATAATGAAGAGTAGATTTTACAACTTGTACCTATGCACTTTTTTATATTTTAAATAATATGGATAGCTGTAAGCATGAACGATAAGGAAACGTGAACATACATTGTGATCATTGCATATGAAAACCCTCATTTAAGGCTAAATAAAACTGGCACGTCAAGGACATTAAATTTGTGTTACCATAAAAGTCAAGTGGTTTCAGGAGAATAGGACTACTCCGAAGAAACCTTTATTAAAACTTGCATTGAAGGATTCAAATATTTACAGTTCAGGGAAAACAAACTGAATAACATTAGGCCCTTTAACTATTCATTGTCTCCGGTAAATATAATTGACGTAGATACAGCAACCAACCAAAGTCACGTCTATCGAAGCAAAAAACTGTAAGGGTTGACTTACACTACGAGCCTCAGAATATGTAATTCTTAAAACACATGACTCACTTACTCTACACAGATCATAGTCTATACGAGCCTCGTAAATAATATTGAAGGTTCACTTGCACTACAGGCTCGTATACTATACGAGCCTATCGAAAATATATAATAAAGGGGAGGGTTCACTTACTCTGCGGATCAACATCATAGTGCCTATGAGCCAGACGATTGGATTACTTTTTATTTCAGAAATAAGCTTGTATAGTATTAAATTATATACACTCACAACTGACAAGGAACTGGCACTCTACCTGCCATATAAAAGCTATAAACTTTAAATACGAACCTTGCGACCAGCCCTATTGAACAGTGTGGAGACAAAGTTTTGAAGCGTTATATATAAGTTTACAGATTATCTATGGTGTAATACTCATGTTTATACGTTAGGATACGGTGTTAGCAACTAAAGTTTATTGTTTAACAGTAATTTAGGAAAAACAGATTTTTGAGTGGATCAAGACCGTCATGGTATTGGTGATGTGCGACCGGCACTACAATTCCGGAAGTTATATTTATTATACATATATACAAAAATATTTTACTCAAAATAAGATACCCAGTTAGTTTCTTTTCTGACCTAAAAGGAAAAGGAGGCTTAAGAGAAAAATTTACTGGGGAATAGAACACTTGAGATGTCAATAACAGTTTAAAAATGAAAGCCTCAACTTATAAAAATGAAAACCGCAAAACTATATCAAAATTTTTTTGTTGAGTTGACGTTTTCACAGACAATTGTTCAACGGCCAACAGGCCCCCCATTTATTACAAAACTCTTCCTATTAATTCATATGTACTCTATAAATACTGTACTTTCTCACACAACTGTATTTCATTCAGTCTGTGGCTAGAAATAAGTTTACTGCTTTAATTAACATTTGCAGCTGCACTTTATACCCTGCTGTTTATTGTTTTGGCAACAATTGAAGTGACTATGAAAGCTATTCTGATACTGGTTACACAGACACACACACACACATGAGTGTATATAACTGCATTCTAGAAACTTGCTCTTAAGCTTTTTGTAATTTTTTTGCCGATCTGAGATATAGACCACTTATAGTTCTAAATTTATTGTTCAAACACTGATAGCTTAAACTGTTTTATTCCCTTCTTAAAAAGTATCTGAATTTTGAAAATGATCAAAGCTTTATCAATGGGTTTGATATCACATCTGAGTTTGAAATTATCAAACCTTTGCAATTATAAATTTTATATTTGAAGGTCAGCAATTTTATATTTATTGAACGTTAAATAAATATTCCATGCTATGTGTGTGTATCCATCTTATAGGACCATAAACCACTTAGTAGAAATTTGATATAATCCCACCATCTACTTTCCTTGACGGGTAGCTAATTTATGGAGGATAAATTCTTTCCAAATTCAACCTGGGTAAATTATATCATGTTTGTCGGCATAAATAAGCTCTTAAAAGAAGCAGTTTTGAAGAGCTGCGAGTAAAGTAAGTGTAATATTCCAGGAGGTTTCAGTTTGAAATACTCATGCGACTCAAATAAAGAATATTATAATAAACGTCTTCCCTTTACAAACTTTAGCTTGTGCATTGAATAATCTTCACAATCCAAGTAAATGAGCGCAAACTTGAACTCATTCCTCTATAAACCATCACTTTTTGCTGTCCAGATTGTTCACTACTGATACAGTCTACTTGGCCAGAGCTATATCTCAGATAGGGTTAATACTTTATATATGTTAGCAACTAATGCAACTAATGCTCAGTTGGCAATAGAAATAAAACTCAGATGATTAATTAAATACCTTCTTTATTTACTCAGTGCCAAACATTTCTGCAAACTTAATTCATTTGTAAAATAAACCACCCAAAACGATTGTAGTTCGTAAAACCCCAGATAGAATAACACTTGATACATATATTTTTAGATAAAAACAATTAAATCACATATAAATATAAATTAAGTGTAACTCTTACAAACAACCACTGTGTTACGTTCAGAATGGAATAGTAAGTAAATCGCTTAAAAATGTATAGTTGGAAATATTTAAAAATTACAATATTGATGTCAAAATTGGAAAATTCTAATCCTAATTATATCAAGATTGATGAAATATAAAACTGGCTAAGTGCGTGGTAAGAATTATTATTAAAAATCTACATCTAAGATTCAAACATGTATTTTGTGCGAGAGCTAATAGATTATTTAAAAGTTAAAGAAGTACAACTATAAAACAGTCAATGATTGGGACATTACAGTACATAGTTTCAGAATTTGTTTTTCAGGACGCTGCTTGACCCTTCAGGAACACTTGACAAAGAAGCACTTTCTTTTTCTCTCTAAAATCAGAACCCTTGGAATTGTTTTCCCCGTAAGATCTATGATAAAACTGAAATTGCCTATAGCATACCAAATTATTTGTTATTTTGATGACCATGACCTGTTGTCGCTGTAAAATATAAAATGTTATCGTGTAACCTACAAAAATAAGTTCAAGAAGGCATTCTTAGAACCACTGTTTATTAAGTACTGTACCCCTTTTCACCTAAAACTTCAAATGATAATTAATAAATTACTGTTCCCCTCAAAAGTGGTATTATTTTTCAGTAATTCTTAAAAAAAGGGAATGATGCAAAAATTGGGTCCTTATTTTATTAAACACTTTTTAAGTATGGTAGCTCATTAGACACAAACAAATACGAACAACTTGAATATAAGTTCAATGAGTTCGATCTCTAAAATGATGTGGAAATGAGCTTGTCTAATGAAATAAATAAAGTTGTCATATTAATTTGCAAAATCTTAAATAAAATCATATGATTTTTTTGTGAGAAGTTTGTTTAGAAGTTTCCCCATACCCATAAATATTGCACTGCTTTACTGAATTGATATCACTGATTTAAAAATAAATAAATATTATATTCTAAACCATAGTGGCAATCATTTAAATACATTTCCTAAATATTATCAAAATCTAAAGCTACAATTTTTAAAGTATTTATGATAATTAATTGTAATTCTGAGTCTAATTATCAAACATTGAGTATATATCGAAGACATCAAGTTGAGCTTAATTTTCAGGGTTTATTCATCATTGACATTCAGAATTAAGCTAACTCTCCAAGAACTGTTGACTCATCGGATTCAAATATTCCTCATATATTTGTTTCAGTCAGGATATATATAACTGGAACTTTGAATAAGATGAGTAACAGATAACATCTGGCATTGATCCGAGAAGGTTTGACCATTGAGTTTTGTTTTGCTTCAAAAATACTAAAAATGTGCCCAACAAAACAACCTACCAAAGGCATATCAATGTCTTTCGTTAACTAACAAAAACAAAAGTTAATTTATCACAGTAAAGATTATTGTACAGGCAGCTCCTTAAAAAACAACATCTTTAACAATAAAAACGTACACTCACACACTCAAATGTTTATTTAAACACACAAACGACAATTGAAGCTAAGATAACCACCAAAAGTTAAAAACGTAATCACATATTAAGTGCGCTCGAGTTTTACCACCATTAAACACGAAAATATCGAACAAATCTATACAATTACAGACTATTAAGTTAAGGCAAATAGGTAGACCTATAACACAGAAACATTAGTTCATCAAAGTGCTAAAAGTGAATGATTTGGTCCCACACAATTAAATTAAGTCGTTAAAATATCAAAAACAACAATCGTGAAAAATCTATTATGAAGCTTTGTTAGGATTTGGTTTTGATTGTATACGGTGGGATCGAGAGATGGCGAGTGTTGACTACGCTCGGTCCAACGACTGACTCTCAGGGCCCAAGACTTCTGTTACTGCAGTCAGTGAACTCTCAGCCGACAACCCCCTGCAATACAAACAAACACTCAACTAGAGATCTGAACCACCAAACAACTATAAGTTACAACTATAAAAGCCATTCAACTGAAGAGAGCCAGCTTAAGTTGGTGCAACATTCAGAGCGGGGCCTTTTACTAATACAAAAATTATACCGGTACCATATTCTCATCTTCCCACCAGGATGATTTTGTTCTAAAAAAGTCATCAAATTAATTAGGAATAGTCTTTATGTATATAATATTCTTTGGTCTTCTATTTTTTCTTAACACTCTTATGGCACAGTTATTCTTTTACCTATATGCCTAGAGATGAAACCATAGGTTTTTTTTTCTAGCAAGAACCATAGTATAAACAACTTATAATTAAACTATTTACTTTATGAGTCAAAACTTTATAACATTAGTCTCAAACTTTAAAATCCATGTAAACATTTTGCAAAACACAAAATAGCTCATACTATTGTAAATTATTATTATAAATCGTGATAATGTTCTACGATCTTCATTTTTTACTTGACAGGATCATGTAAAATGATGACAAGGCAATTATTCCCATAACATTCACAGACTTATACAATTTTTCTGTGTTTTGTCCAAGTGCCGGGCCCCCGAGGCGTGATGCCCTGTGCAATCCCACTTTTTGTACGTGCCTAAGACCGCGGCTCTGCAACTGAACATACACTGAGCTCTTGCAAACAGACACTAGTTCCCACTACAGATTGATTACCAATTGAAAAAATACAGAAAACATAAATATTGGCATCATGGTAAATAAGCCATGGATCTTTTGTATCATGTCTGTTTATTGTTATGGTTATACTTGGAGAGTAAGAAAATGCCATCAGGATAAATCTATTACATTTACTATATAATACAATCTATATTAAGAGCTTAAATATGTGCTCAACACTGTCTGAGTTAATTTCACTGATCCAGAAACACAATCAAACAATCAAAAAACTTAATCAAGCCACTTCTTAAATGACCAAAGAACTATACACAACTAAAGAAAATGCATGGATTTTTTATCCATACAAGTTTCCATATTTCTTTCTACTAAAAATAATCTAAGGTTCTCATGTATTCCAGTTTTTTGGAAAGTTTCTTTACTCCTAGGAACTTTCAAAACATTTTTTAATGAAGGTTTAAATATTGTTTATAGACAGAGAATGTTAATGCAGAATTATAATTGGTATTATGGGATGGATGCTATAACAACTAAAAATGCTTAAATGGTTTACAATACCTGCATGTAGTAATCCTTTGTTGCTGTTTTGGCAACTAGTTCCAGTTCTTCTGAACCATCATCAGACATCAAGGTGTAAGGTAATCACTTCATTATGAGGTCTTTAACAGAGTCTAGACTTTACAGAGCCTAGTGTCCCTTCGTGTGTTTTGTGTTTTTTGTAAACATGTGTCCGTTCTGTTATCGTGTGTCGTTTATGTTTTATTTATTGAACTCTGTTAACGACCTCCGAATGAAGTGATTACCTGACATCTGATCTGATTGATCTAAATTATCCTGATGATGTTTCAGAAGAACCGAAACTAGTTGCCAAAACAGCAACAAAAGGATTACTATATGCAGGTATTGTGAACAATTTTAAGTATAATACAGTAATCCGGAGGCTAAACAACTCTTTGAACATGAAACTAAAAATGTATTTAAACTGTAGTACAGCGTGAGTTTGGGTAGCTCTTTTAGAACATTTTTTTAGATACTTTACCTGTTGTTTTGCCACTCATAAGATCCAGGAGCTGAATGGGATCTTCCATTCTTCTGGAACTTTCGAACAATGGAGTCACCCAAAAATGGATTCTAAAAGAATAAACACAAATTAGCATAAGACAATAGTTGTTTTTTTTATTTCTCTCCTTCACACAAAAAACAAAACTATTTATTGCAGTCTGTCAATTGCTAAGGTAATATTATAGAGATTAAAGGTGTTCTAGGAAACATTCAACATAGTTCCTTTCAACATTCTAACACCCTTGATGAACCGATCATTGGAAAAATCAACTTATGGTACGGTACCTGTACCTGTACCAATATGGTACCTAATTCTTTTAGTGGCAAACAGTTTTTTTTATAATTTTAATATATTTATGGATTCAAAATAAAGTGGTAACAGAAATGAGCCAAAAATTGATAGTATTGTGTGTTTTCTTGATGTTTGGTGTTTCTTTAGACTTACTGAATAACATTTTTATAATGTTACCCAGTTATTTGTAATTTTACATAATTATTTCTAAGGTTCAGTTACATGTAAAAGCCGGCTGAGAGGAGTTGAGCAAATGCTATAAACTTGTTGGAAATTACTTAGAAGAGAACACACTTTAGAATTTAGTAGTAGTAGGAAGTGGGCTATAGCAATGTTAACAGTGGATACACAAAGAGTTTAGGGGTTTTAACAACATTCAGAAGCCCCTTCAACTCTTAAACTTGCTAAATGAATAAACAAAACACAAAAAATAAAACCCACAGTCACAATGCATACCATCAGCACCAAATGCTTTTTGGGTCCCTCATAAATACATAGAAATTTTTTTGGAAATTACTGGCTTTTTACGTATTGGTAGAGTGTAGCAATTAATAAATAAACAAAAGCAAGCATTTACAATGGTCTCAAGAGACAAATGTTTGAGATCCACTTCGGAAATAAAACTGGCATCTGAAATGATTACCTGAAATGAATGTTTCTTGAGCATTGTCTTGATTAAGATGAGAGTATCCAGTTTTGGAATGGACGTAACGACTTTGCGGACGTCTTCCTCTGTAATTTCAACAAGTTGACAGTTCTCAGCCTCTGTTGGAAGGGGAACTGCACCATGCCTTGTTACCCATGGATGTTCCTACAGATAACAAATGAAAATGGTCAATAACCACTAGTTATGAATATAAAATTAGTGATACCGAAACAAGTTCATCAGTCTGATATGGGTTACTGCTTTCTTAATACAACCAAGAAATTGTAGTTTTAAATCAAGAGATTTTGTTCTAATGGAAGTAATTTTTTTCAGGAATATTTTATGTTGTTATATATTTATTCACTTATCCAAAGTCATTGCTTCTAGGTTCTAGGTTTCATTTACTTCTATATATTTTCCAATTTGTATGTAAGTTAATGAGTGTAAGTCAATTGGCTGTAAGGTATGCTACCCAATGGCTTAAAAATCTGTAATACACATACTACAGGGTGGCAAAAATCGAACCTTTAAACAATTCAATAAAACCAAATGAAAGATAAGATTGAAAAATTAATAATCCCTGGTCGTTGAAACATTAAAAGTGACCATCAAAACTAAAATATATTGTTACAGATTTGTTGATGATTGTTTGGGCCATTTGAACTGAAGCTTTTTGTTGGGCTGAAGGACAGAATAATTGATACAAAATAAATTTACTCTGGAATTTACCCCCCTTTGAAAAAGATCCTTCCTCTTCATCCTAGTCAATAATCAGAGTTTCAATTGCATATATTCATGGCATAGCACCATAACATAAGCTGAACTAAACAAGTAAAGAACCCACTTAGCAGTTTCTAAACTATCATAGTGAAAAAATATATTGTGAATGCGAAATATCACCTTTACTAATGACAAATTTCTTTTCAAAGGGTACATTGTTTATACCTGCTTAAGGACAGTTCCATAAGCCGTTATACCTGATAAAGGTTTCCAATGTAGGCATTTCAAACATTCCCAATTTTCTGTGTCACCAAGTACTAAACACCAATGGACTAATGTGTATTCTTAACTAGTTACTCACAAACAAAGCCAATCTATTCTGGTATGAATGACTATAGGGTCTATTTCTGTGTAGGTAATGAGTTGGGATTTAGTACTAACTATAAACTCATGACCAGGGTGACTTAAGTGTATTTCTCTAACTACAGTATTAACAACTTCCGTTACTACGTCATCCAGACAGTTTAGAACTTAAACAAGTGCATGCAACACTACATTAAATTAAAGACTACTGAAAACTTTGACAGTGATGAAGGCATGTTTAACTCACAAACTTTTCAAATTAGTTGTTAAATTTAAGTTTGTTGTAGCTGGATTTGGGGAAGATGAACTTGTCAACAGTATTTATTTGTATTTTCCCAATGATGAAACATTTCTGTTATCAGACAAATCAGATTTTAGGTGTGATATTCTTTATACACATGAGTAATATAAATGGTGTTTTTAACATTCTCTACATTCTCTATATTTTGTTCACAATATTGTTTTATTGATTGGATAGTTACTCACACCAAATTTAGAAACAAAACAATTAAATACAGGATTTAAAGTGGAAAACACATAATCATTGCAAATTCTTGATAAGCAAAAATAAGCACAAGCAGCAGATTTAATTAATTCATCTCAATTAAAAACTAGCTTTTTCATTGTGAAATCATAAAAGGTTGTAGCCTATTACTTCAAAATGTTTAATGCACTCTTCCATGCATGCTTTATTTATACTTTTGATGTTCATTTGCTTTTTCAAGTTGAAGCCGGACTTGTGCTAAGTAAGGCAGGATTTAGTGATGAAAATCTCTTGCAAGCTCCAATATTTAAGCACCTCTAAACGCCTACCGTATGTTCTAGAATAATTTATCTTTAGTAATTTGACCTATAAGTAATCTTTACCTTAATTTCTTGCAGGGTTATTCTCTCGTTGGGGTCTTTCTTTAGCATTTTGACAATAAGATCTCTAAGGTTGGGTGAAATCGTTGGCTTTGGTGGAAATACTAGAGGCTCAGTCTGAATCTTGCTATAAAGCGCTGGGATCGTTTCAGCGACCCAGGGAACGTTTCCGTAGACAAATGAAAACAGGGTTACTCCTAGAGACCAAATATCTGAGGCCTGTAACAAGTTTACACTCTTGTAAAATTCTTCAACTGGATTATTCAAAAGAATATTCTTACCAAAACCTTGAATCAAGAAATTGTGAAATTCACTTATATAAAAGTGTCATATTTAGTCATTTTAGAGAAAGTCTCTTTCAGAAAGAGACATGCTGTACAAGTTTCAGTAGGCCTAACCAAATCAGTATCCAGCGAGCTTATTTCAGCCATCATGATCATAATCAGCATCTGGCAATGTTTTTGAAAGCAGTATATTAATCAGATTACCTACACTCTCAGCAGTGTCTTACAATTTCTATTGTGGAAACATTTTAATGATTTGATTTTGAGGATAACCAGTGACGTTCTCAGGTTGTGAGAAAGTTGTGGTTGCACAGGGAATGGCACCCCAAGATAAGACATTTTTGTGTAAAAAATGATATCAGAGAGTGCACAAAACTTAAGCAGGCTAAATAATTCATGCAACTGACAAACTGTTTCAAACCATATGCTTTTTAGCTTTTTAATGGTATAACAGGTACTTAAATATATACTTTAAGTAAAAAATAAAGTAAAACGGTTTTTTTCAGGGAAGGGGTGGGAAAACATTTGACGAATACATGCTGCTATAACCCCCCCCCCCCCTTCGTGATGCTGCATGCTCTAGTGTAAGCCCTTAAAGTTTTTAAGATCCAATAGACTATCCACAAATACCATCTCTACTCTTTAGACACTAGCCTGGTAACACTTGTAACACTTCACTAGAACTAGGCCAAAAAGTAAAGAGAATAATAAGCAGGATATCAGAAATGATTCTCAACGTTTTGAATGTACTGGTACACAATAGCTTATGATGTCTCCAACACCAGTGCTTAGACCATTATTTCGTAAATTTTCTCTGATTGTAGGTTGTAACTTGTATGACTTCATATCTCGCATTTTGGTTGGTAAGTAAATTACAAATAATAACTATTTTGGAAAGAAAGAGTTCTTGCAGAAGGCCTTCCTATATAATGATGGCATTGGGAATAAGGATTTTTGAAAACACAATTTTTAATAACTTATTTAGAGAAGGAATTGTGTCCTAACACCACTGTATTACTGAAATTCCTATGACTAAACAACTATAAAATGACAGAACCAAGCTCATGACAGCCATAAAAGTCTGCACAAAATGTAGGAATAAACTGAATAAATCTGTCCTAATCTTTGTGTACCCCAAAGTACTTTCCATAACACTTATTTCAAGGTCTTTGGTACTCTATCCTTAGTATATTGTTATACTAGATTCTCTCAGAATGTTCACCTTCCCACTGAAATTGCTGTCGGAGATAGCTTCAGGAGCTGTGAAGGCAGGAGTTCCGGCGGTGTTACTCAGGGTTGCGTCTGGACCAGAGAATTCGTTGCAGACACCGAGATCAGCGATCTGTACATGGCCATCTTCCCCAAGCAGCAGGTTTGCAGGTTTAATGTCACGATGTACGATCCGTTGGAAATGTACTGCAGAAAATGTCAAAACATTTAGAATCAACATGAAAGTCCACTCGTTGGGCTTTATGATTACTGTCTAGGACTTGGTGCATGAGGGACAGCTATTACCCTTGGAATATCCACAAAAGTGTGTGGAGTTAGGACCAATTGTTCTAAAGCATTTGAGTTCCTTCCATACAAATTTCCACTGTAGTTAACATTAAAAAAAGCTTATGCTCCATTATGGGTGCTTGCATTATTGTAAATATATGACACTAAGACTACAGTAAATGTGTTTTTAAAATAGATCAATGTACATAAAAAGAATCAATCCATATCTGATGCTTTTGATCAATTTGTAAGAAAATGTATTTAAACATATCTAAAAACGAATATATATGTATAACAAAAGAAACGGTAACTTATACAATATTATAATATTCAAGCAGCAGATTCAGTATGATTACATAAATGTTATAACTTGGTATTAATTCTATTGTTTTATAACATATTTTTTTCTGTTTTGGTATAGGAGTGAAAAAATATAAGAAATTATGTGTAAAAATATTAAATAATAATTATTAATAATTTATAGTATAATAATACGTATTGTAAAATAAATACAAGACAAGGGAAGTTGAGTTGAGTTTAAACTGCCTGCAAATATCAAACTATTTCACATTTTTGTTTAGCTATACCAAGAAATACCTATTTGTTTTACATAATGGGAGCAATAATGCACGATAATTCGATGAAATGTCCATATTTCAATTAAAATTAAAAGGGAATGACATGTAGTTTGTTTACTAAGCTGTGTTTTTACATTCACAAATTATTAATAATTTTCAAAGGTTGAGTAGGTCTATATACCATCGTTTATTTAAGTTTTAATATTATATGAAGTTAAAAAACAAACTGTAGGCATATGATTGTAAATTTGACTTTTCTTTTTCATCTTACTAGAGCCTATAGGTAAGAATAAATTTTGGCACTATCATATTTAGTTATACTATATCTCTTTTATTAACCCAAAGTAACTGTTCAATTTGTATAAGGAAATAATGATTAATCATTTCCCTTTTGAGCTAGTATAAAACTCTTTCTTAATAATCTAAATAAGAAAGAAAATTACCTTCTAGGGGATGTTTACTTCTAAGACTTATTTGATTATTAACTTTTCTCAAAGTTAAATTTCTGGCTTAATATCATTACATGCTTTATTTAGCAAAACTAATTGTAATTAGTTAATTCTACTTTAAGAAAACTTAATTGTATACCAATTAATAATTACCCTACGACTAGTTAAATGCTGATGACAAATTATATTAAATAAAATAAGTGGGATGGAAAAGACTATTTTTAATATAAAAACTGCAATTTTTATAAAAAACCACTCAGTATGAGTAATTAATTATAATAACAAGTCTCGTAAAATGATATTGGAAAAGTCCCAGTCAATTTATTTACCTCTTTACCAAAGAAAAATGTGATTGCATTGTGTGAGAGGCTAATAAAATAAAATTAGAATAGGTTGAAATAATGCGTTTTTGATTTTTGATTGATTTTTTATTTTAAGATGTTTCAATTTTATAGGATAGTATTATTACAATTATAAAACCTTTTTTGTAAAATATTGACTGTAAAACTTAATTATTAATAGAACGATTCTCTATCTACAGATTGGTCCTTTATGAGATGGGCCTTTCATGATTAGGAGAGACATTTCATGTGTGTATTCGGAAAGGATCATAATTATGTCAACTATATGTGACAAATAAAGCAATTAATTCAATTTCATATAACAATACACATAGTGTGTTTTGATTAGAATGTTTAATTTAAATCTGTGGAACTATAGTATAGTAAAATGGTGTCTTAATGTGTTTTATTGTCACAGTTTCAATTGGTTTTGGGTGTTACTTACAGTATTCAAGTCCCAAAATTGTGTCCCTGAAGTATCCCCAAGCTTGGGATTCAGAAAGTGGATTTTCATTGGGTAGCTGTAGCACTTCCCCCCTCTCGAGCAACTCAAAAACTGAAAACACATAGATGACATTTTAGCTCCAAGTTTTATTTAAATATAATTTTAAATTGATTTTAGGCATCAAAATGAACAAACAAGAAGATTCATACAGTTTCAGTCAACTTTTTACAAGATACTAATTCTGTTAATTCAGATGTTGAATAAATCCAATCATCTATGAGAGTTCACTGCATTCAAGATGGCTAAAAAGATCTTTTCTGAACAATATATAATTTTTACTCATTTAGAGCTGATGTCATTTGACTTTTTGTTTCGTTGAAATACCCTGCTCTGGTCATCATGCTGCATGAAAACGTATATTTATATTATGTTATAAGGAAATTATACATTGTGAACCTTTGTGGTTTTACTAGTACTATTCCCTTTAGAGTCTTTATTTTTCAGTTGAAGTACATAAAATCTTAACTCACCTAGATACAAATGGTCTTCTGAAGGGTCGTCCAAAACTTCAATCAGTTTTACGACATTTGGATGATCCAGCTTTTTAAGGACAGCAATCTCCCTGTATACCCGATCTAAAGGACTAGTTCCTTTTCGGTTTGGGGCATTCCTTCCTAAAACAACATTCATGTTATGAGCTAGTTAATAACACATCACCATTATAAACTAAAGGTGTTGTTCAGATCTAATTCTAACAGCTACAATCTATCTCTAAGACAACAGACGGTTAAATACTATGGAGTGAATGTGTAACTAAACTTAGGAGGTTCTCCAAACTTTGAAAGGATTTCAGTGAGTTAATACTGATGGACGAGTATTGTTATTGTTTGCTGAATAACTTCCAACAACTCTAATGAATAGAATGTATAGTGTTACGGAGTTGGTTTATTGCAGTGAAATCCAGGTTGAATATTTTATTTATTGAAATTAAAGTATCATAAAAAGTTAAACAAATTTCAACCACGAGTGTATGTTACTAGCAACTGCTAACTAAGTGAAGAAAGCTAACGCTCTTTATGTCATGTTAAGCTAAACTTTATTGATGATACATGGATGTATATAATTAACTCATTTAATAGTAAATAGTAGTCAATGATATTTAATCAAATGTGTAGATTCAAGCGTAGGCATATTTAATGTATGATTAGTGATATAAAAAATAAACAATGTTGTTTAAGTATGTGTTAACAATATTTTATAGGTTAATCGTCTTTAAGGATCAGCTGGAAATAATTTTAAGATTTGTTCAACCCAGTTTGTGAAGAGGGTTGTTTTTGCTATTTTCCGCTTATTATTTAACCATTTTAACTATTAATATAACAATCTATTTCTAATCTATTGGTTGTAATCTACTATTATAATAAAAAGTTAAAAAGAAACTGATAAAATCCACCCTTAAAAGAGAGAAACCTTTAAGTTGACAGCACACTTAAACATCACCAACATGAAACTCACATCAAAGAGGCTTCAGATTAAACAATAAAATAAGGAACTACTTGCACTATTGAAAGTAAAATGTTAAATTAATAGTAAAGTCAATTTAACATGGGGTACTGACAGACTTAGAATATTTGACTCCATGTTAGAAATGCAATTAAAAAAACTAAAACAAAAATGTTTTAACTTATCAAATTTAGATTAAATACGGTCAGAAGTATGTTGGACTTTTGTGTAAAACAAAACAGCTACTCAATGGATTTCATGCAAATTAAAGTTTTCAAGCATTTCTAATGATAATGACATTAGTTCTAATTAATAGTATAGGTATAGATTGTTGTTTAGAAGAAATAAATGAAGAAAAATTGCCATATTTTACGCAATTTATCGAATTTCTCTATTACCATAGTGAAGAAGCTATTACATTTGACGGCACAGAAAGGCCTAGACCCTTTAAAATACATTATTTGGAAATACACTATTCTATATACAGTATATACAAACTGTGTGTGTGTGTGTGTGTGTCCATGAACACGATAAACTCAAGTAATTTTAGTCCGATTTTGATTAAGTTTGGCATGAATGTGTAGAACTGGATTAAACATGAATGAGTTCGCAAACCAGCAAGATCGGATCATAGGAACAAGGTATTATGGAATTTTTGAAGTTTTTCAAAAATTGGTTTCCTTAACATCTTATTCTCACAACATGGAAATGCTCAATTTTCATTACAGCCATTGTGTGGTAGAGCTTAAAAACAAACAATTTCGTACATTGAAACATTGTTGTACAGTTAAAAGTAAGGAGGAAAAAAACTGTACTTATAAATACAATTTTTATATTTTTCTTATGAAGAAAATCTGCTGTAGTTTGCTTGTTTATTGATAAATTTTAATTAATTAGGCAAATTTATTTATTTGATTCTATACTATAGATTTAAAAGAATGTTTGGCAGATAAAAAACTACAAATCACAACATCTTCAATTAAAAATACAAAGTTTTTAGACATATAATTGTTTTTCATGAGAATATGTAAATTATTGATGTAGTATATTGTTTATAGAAACCAATAATTGGTTATTCATTAAAAAAATTACAAACACAAGCACTTGTATGTATACGAGAGGTAACTACCCAAAATGCAATTGTGTAAATTCATCAGACCATAGTAACCAGTAGCCATATTACCAGTTCACATGGAAAGAGGCATTAATTTACTTGCCCATCACTTCCATTACATTCATACTTAAACTAAAAGTAAAAATCTGGAAAATATTCTCAAGGTTTTTTTTATATTTGGGAGTAAAGAAATATTATGTATTTAGCTTACCTGTAAACACATAGTTAAATATTAGTCTACTTTCTATTCCTATTTGTATGATCAAATTAAGGCTTGTACAAATTATTATAACAACAAATTGTGTAACGAATGATTCCGAATAGTTTCTAACAGCTACTGAAATATTACATACTGCACTAAGAAAATTCCTAATGTAATTTGTTTAGTTATTATAATAACAAACAAAATTCATAGTTGAACTTTCTGTTGACTTAATATTTTCAAAATACTGCTAAGCAAATATTTTTGACAAATTATGAAAGAAAAGAAGGTAGATAATTGTTTTTTTTTTTTTTTTTATAAGTGCTATACTCTACAAAAAGTAAATAAATAGTAAATAGGCACAAAAATATAAAAAAATGTAAAAACATAACATAAATAGCAACGAAGATTACTATTCATCCTACACCATTTATACTTGAAATTTATTAGTTATTGTTTGAAAAATAAAAAAATAAATTCTGTATATTTTGTATATTTAGGCATAAGAGCGGAAATTATTTAAGCAATAACTTACATACATTATACAATAACCTACATAAATTATTTAATATTTTGTTCTTTTCCATTTGTCAGTAAGGTGAAATTATTTCATCCTTTTTAAGGTGATTTCAATCTTAATAGTAAAGGAAAAGGAAGCTACTGAGAGCTCATCAGAGTGTGATACATAGTTGAATTACAAACTTATGTATCTTAGATGAAACCTAAATATAGTTCAAAGTACCTTGGTCACCCTTACTTAGTAGGTCATAAATAATTGACCCTTTGACTATGATACAGAAAAGTTCATTAGAATAAAAATGAAGCTTATATAAATGTTGATAGTAACACATATAAAGTGCTGACATTTTCAAATGGATTTAAAATTCATTATTTCAGAATACTGGACATTATGATATTAATTAATTGAAAGGTAATTATTTATGCAACTGGATAGTAAAACTCTAATCTTCTTTGATATTGTGCAAATATAAATGTGTAATTACGGATTTAAAATTAACTTCATTGCGTTTTATGGACCATTCTAAGTTTTTAAAGAATACATCATATTGTATTGATGCAGTGATCATATTTCTTAGCCCCTGATTGCTATTTGACCTTAAAGCGAATATTTAAAACTATAAGACTTGTATTAAGCTTTATAAAATATTAATGTAAAGACCCACTAAGCAATTTAGCCGAATAAAAGTTGTAGCAACAAATTTATGAATTTTTTTCTAATCATGTAGTTTGCTGGAAAACTGATATAATCTAGCACAAATATTTTATAGACTAATAAATTATACATATTTAAGTGATCAAATGTTTACTTACCAAAAATACCGGCTTTCTTCATCAACTTCTTTTTGGATAAAATTTTCATGGCCTAAAAATAGAAAAGTATGAATCAATTTGCTGCTACTTATTCTAAAACAACTTTTAAAACTAATATAATTTTAATATGTCTTACAAAAATGGTTATTTATACTTCCATAGCTGCATCGAATTGTTCAGCTTCGATTGATGCATAATGAAATCAGATTGACAATTTACATAGAACTGCTCGCTTTGTGTACACATAAATGAATCAATGCGGCATGGAATAAAATATGATACATGATATGACACGAGTATGTTTATATTATTTTTTATAAAAACCATTATCAATATAGATTTAACACATTTTTACCAAAGCTCCATAATTTAAGTCTGGCTACATTTAAGACTAGAATTCTTAATGCTCTTGGATCCATCGGAATAAAAACAACCACAACAAAAATATGAATGAAATATTGAATGTGATACATTAAAATTATTAGGATTATAATTGTTATTATTTATCAAATGAAATATTACTAAAATATTTTTTGTGGTCATTATTTGAAAAAAAAGGTTTTATCAAGTAATGTAATAATTTGTAAGATGACTTCCTAGTGAAATGGTCATAAAGGCCCTTTTTATCGAATTTCCCATATAGGGAATAAGCTATTACCGTAGGTTTCATGGTAAGACCTAGACCCGGGACCGATTTACTTTTTCGTTTTCAAGTCCCCAGAGGCCAAAAACGCCATCAGTTCAAATTCATTATAATATATATATGAATTTAATAAAATTTTAAATGTTTAATTATTTATTTCAATTACTAATATCTAGACATTCCATCCCCATGTTAAAGTTGTAGCCAGGTTTTTAATACAATTTGTTTTATTTGATGTGAGCCACCTATAGATTGCGCTGATCTAAATTACTGATTTCTGCCGATTACATGATGGTTTTTACCAAGTCAAACTGATGAAATTACTTATTATGAGCTATAGCAACTGTTGTGACCCAGCAACTAAGTAAGTACCGAAAAATAAGGTAGAAAATAGAGTTTTAGACACTAGCGCAATCTGTGACTGGCTCACATAACTACATTCTTTTTTAGTAAAACATTGGCGACAGCTGATCCAAATAGATAGGATGTCTTCTTCTGTATCCAATAGTCAATGCTAATATATATATGTGTGTGTGTCCTTTAGCACGATAACTCGAGCAAAAATGATCCGATTTTGATGAAATTTGGTACAAACGTGTAAACCTACGTTAATTCAAACGAGTTCACGAACCAGCATGATCGGACCATGGGGACGCGGGTTTATGGGGGTTTTTATGGGGTAAAAATTGGGTTTTCTCATTTTTGACCCTGAAACAAAAGATTTTGCAATTTCTTTCTAAACCATTTTGTAGAGCTTACAAAAAAAAAAAAAAAAAAAAACTTTAGTATATTGAAGTGTTGTTGTACGCCTAACGGCCACGGAGAAAATTAAAAAAAAGTGTAATTTAAAATTCCCATGTTATTCTTATGGAGAAAATAAAAACTGTTGTAGTTTACTTGTCTATAGATATATGTTGATAAAATTTGGCAAATTTATTTATTTCATCCTATACTATTGACGTATGGTCAAAAACACGTTTTACCCTCCCCGTAGCAGCAAACCTAAGCACTTGTTTAATCTAATGTTATTTAAATTGGGAATAAACATGTCTTATTTATGGAAATATTATAGTAAAAATGTAATCAGACAAGTTGAAATTCGCTTAGTCTGCAGGTTTGCTGCGGCGGCGGTATATTTTGACTATAACCAATCAGTAAGGGTAGGCAGTTCATCAACATTATAGTGTATTTCAAATTTAATGTAACAATACAGAAACTAGTAGATTGTTCATACCAATCAATTGTAAAGATAATGAATACTATTTCCATGGGATATTTGAAAAAAATCTGTTCATAATCGGGTTGACCTAAGATCCATTCTTTTGCGGTATACAGTTTTCAATTGTATTGATTAAATATATATTGTGCATAATGACACTAAATTGCCAATAGTTTCATTGTGATTTTAAAAGAAAGATGTATTTTAATTATAAGCTTAGACAGATATTACTTGTTTTCATAACTCTTGAAATACCCTCCCAAATATAATGGGGATTAGAGGAAATGTTATACTATTCCTTGTTTATTCAACAAGGTACTACCAGGGATATGAAGTGAAAACAAAAATACTGTGACCGTACAAATTTATACAGTAAAGTTTGTAAAACATATTTTGGTAAACTATTAATCGTTGATGAAAAATTACATTTTTATGTTTTTTACAAAACAGTGAGATACTTTACACTTCAGCGTTTTAAAATGTAAATTTTTGCCGAAATTTTAAGGTGAAATAAACAAAGGAACGGTTAGTTGAATCTATACATGAACGGCTGTTGTATAAATTTTGCATGATTTATAAACCAATTTCACAAATTAAACAATTAACTTGATTGCAAAGCTCCATGACTACTTGATAATTGTCTTTATGGTGCAAATGAATTAATTTACTGAAACAAAGTGTGCATAAATAAACCAATTAGGCCTAAAGTGAGCCTATTTTTTTATAGTGAGTGTTTTGAACATCTTGATGTTAAAAAAGGCACAGATTAGATCCCAACAATACTGGTTTCTCCATAGATGAAGAAGACTTGGCTTTTGGCATTAAAGGAATGTATCAAAATAAAAACTCGTTTTCCAGATGAATTAATTTTATAAACTCTTAAACGGTTTAGTCGAAGGTCGTTTTATTACATTTCAATCTTGTTTCTAAACCCAGGACAATTGCTTAGGATCGCCACCACATTAGGGTTGATATCTGGCGAGGATCCAAATTGAGTCATCACATATTTACCTTTCTTGATTTTTTATTTAATAACCATTTGGAATCAGATACTAAGAGTCGGTAATCTGCAATACAGTTGATATCTGTCCAGGGTCAAGATTAAGTCACCTTATTTTCACATTCCCCTTAATGTTTATTTATTACACATATTGCAATTTGACATTTACTAAAACCAATTATAATATTATAATATAAATTATTTCTTAATATAAATTATTACAAATGAAAACATAGAGATATTTGAAGCATAGCAAATTATTGCTTTTGTTGATAAACAGATGATGTATTATTATTATTATTATTATTATTATCACTGGTCTAGAGATCAAAGGTCGGGAGTGCATTCTTCGGCCCAGGATTAAAATACTGTCAATCACTAGAGAATTAAAGCTAATCAAGAGCTGCGATAGTGCCATGAGATCCCATGAGACGTGATAAAAATCTAGTAAATAAAGATAGTCCATCCAGATTAGAATGACTGTCTTCACATTGGAGATATTCCTCCAAAAAGCAATGTAATTGACTACGTTTTTGGAATTTTTCAATTGTATAACCATTTGGAGATATAGCCTCTGGATCGTTATTGAACATAATTAAATCTAAGGCTTACCTTACGATCCAATTTTTTTTCTTCTTTTTTTAAATTGGATCGTAAGGTAAGCCTTAGATTTAATTATGTATAACCATCTCTGTGAATAAGCTAACAAAATAAATAACAACGAGTCCAACCAACACAGTTACCATGGACATATTTTAACGTGTGGGTTAAATATTTTAAAGTTTATATTTAAACAACAAATTCCTCGTAGTCTCTTTTGTTCGACATATTTTTTGTTCATGTAGATTTTTCATATCAAATTATGAAAATCTACATGAACAAAAAGTATGTCTGGGGACTATTAATTTACACATAAAAGGGCCAATATTTTTGGGTAAAATGATCTTTTATTCATAAATAGCGGCCATGATTGAAAGTAGTTGGCACTATTTTCATTACATTACATTAGGTCCACATTACATATAGGTACATTAGGTATACATTTATTTGACAAATATTGTTGTCAAAAGTACTTTAAGTTCAATAGAAGGTTTTAGTATAACTAAGATATTTAAATAAAATAAATAGTAGCTTGAGAACGCAAATATTTTTTTAAACGTAAATAATTGTATAAAGGTCGTCGGTATGCAACTTATGGCTATTGATAATTCCACGAGACTTCAGAAATGGTATTCAAATGTGTGAAAGAATTCACAAAACGTGTGTCAGGTGTAATAAGCTACTGTAGCGAACGTTCTGTATTGATTACTGCAATCCGGTGTAATTTACTAATGAATGTTTAATGTAAAGAGGCGTTATACCTGGAAATAATGTAGAGGTGAAAAAGTAGAAAATTAGGGGTCTGCGGGTCAGCAGAATAGCCGATGCACGCTCGCTTAAATTAATTAACTGATAATGATCGGCCAGTTGTCTCGGAATAGTGTGGCTGGCCGGAGCAGGCGCAGCCTTGTAGTCTATTGTTCGCCTCATCAAAACTTCTAAACAGTATCAGTAACCTCATGGAAATCGATCGAATATTTGTATTCAGCTACGTAGGGAAAAATCAGAAACTAAATGTTGTAGTTTTCCTAGGAATTAATATTTGGAAAGTAAAAAAAAATTCTGTGACAAACAGTTGTAAAACCTATAGAAACGTCACTAAATAATTATCTTGGCGGTTAGTTGATTGTTGTATCAAATTCCAATTCTGTCGCTTTCTGCACTATTAGACGGGCTTCACTGGTTAATGCATTACAGTCAATTCACAATGGCAAGTGCATCATTAAACCATTCACAATGTTAACTGCATTATTCAACAATCAACAATGTTAACTGCATTACAGACATAACTAAATTGTTTTAAACGATCGCCATGTTTAACGCATTATAGTTGTTTATGGTTGACTACTTTCGTAAACGATTCAAAGACATATATTTAGTAAAAAATCACAATTTGTAATTAATTTCTAGGTATAAAACAAACAGTTGTCACGTCAACCGTTGCAAATGGAAAATATGGAATACAGAGCACAGTAAAAAACTCATAAATCTAACCAAATTTAAAATAAACCCATTTTTGCAACTGACATGTACGATATACGATCCGTATAAACTATTTTGTTAAGTGTTGTCCATATTTCGAAAATAATC